TGTGTGTGTGTGTGTGTGTGTGTGTGTGAGTGTGTGTGTGTGTGTGTGTGTCTTACCGGCTGGTCCGCGCGGTTGATGCCAGTGAGGAAGAGTGTTTCAGCGATGAAGAGCGAGATGCACAGGTTCTTGTGGATGGTGTTCCTGTCGCTCTGCAGGCCGCGGAAGAAGCAGAAGGTGAAGATGCAGACGAGCAGACAGACCAGAGACAGCAGGATTCCCACCCACGTGATGATGTCCAGCAGCAGATCATGAACCGAGTCTGCCGTCTGCAGAGAGAGAGACACAGATCAGAACGCTTTCCGATCCCTCTGAACAGCAATATTACACATGGATATCAAAATATTGCTACAAGCAGCAATTACAGCACATCAGAGCAACGATTTCAGATGCTTACACCAGGATAGTAGGATAAAATAAAATAAAATAAAATAAAATAAAATAAAATAAAATAAATAAATAAATAAATAAATAAATAAAATACAATACAATTGAATGAATGAATGAATATTATACCTTTTAACATTTATTATTATATTTGTATCATATATAAATAATTATATAAAAAAACATTATTATATATTTGTTTTAATTGTATCATACAAATTATAATTTTTATTTTTCTCTTATTTATTGTTCTAGGTACCCAGCCATAATTTTAAAATTTAGAATTATTTATTTATTTATTTATTTATCATTCTAGGGACTAATCAATCGATCAATAAAAATAGAAACAGTGCTATTCAGGTATTCACACTGATGGTTAACCTTTGCCCACAGACAAATGTAGGTAGCTCATTTTTGTTAATATCTTGTGGTGTAATTAATTATATTAACAAAAAAAGAGTATATTTTACTGCAAAGCTGCAAACTAGCCTCCAGCACAGTTAATAACCCTACAAAACCATCTTCACGCATGTATTGTGTATTTTTCTGTTAAGCGCGTGTGACAGTCAGTTTGATTTATTATCGTGCTGCAGTTAAAGCGCTCAGATCCCGCATACGGCGTCACTGATTCCCACTGTACTCCCTCTGTAGGGTCCCTACGGAGGCCACACAGCCAGGGGAGAAGAGCACAGCTGATATGGGACACATCCCAGAAGACTTTGAGTCTGGAAGACTGGATGTCAGCATTTCTGAAGAACACAGCTCATGAATATTTATGAGCACTGCATAGGAAACAGTACACAGCTTATATGTATATGTGTGTGTGTGTGTGAGAGAGCCCCAGAGGGCCGCTGAGCACATAACACATCACTCTTCCTGAGGCCCACTCACCCTTGAGCGCTATATCTCCTCTACATTCAACAGCAGTGTGTGTGTGTGTGTGTGTCAGTGCTGTAAGTAAATCAAAAGCTCAAGCCTGCTCAGCAGAATCCACAGCGAGTCTCAGACTTTATAGAGTCAACGCTGAGCTCAAGTAAATCTATGTGTCTATAAACACACATACATACACTCACACACACAGAAAAAAAAAGGTACAAAAGCTGTCACTAGGGTGGCATTTGTGAAAAAAAGCACACCTTTGTACCTTATTTACACCTAAAGGATGCATAATAGTACCTTAAAAGTACATATTGACACCTAAAGTGTACATATTAGTGAAAGGTACCTCCCCAGTGACAACTGCAATAGCATTTTATGTCAAACTTCAAAATGCCCAACATGATAAAAAAAAAAATAGGGTATTTTTCAACTCAGTATGTCATACCGAAACTAAAGAGACCAGTCTTGTGATTTTTGGCCAAAATATTCAGTAGTTATAAGCAAAAATGTCAAATTTTCATATATCCAGAACACTAGGTGGCGCTGTGCCGAAACTGTGCAGGTAACCTCAGGTCCTGGTTATTATAACACACACCAAGTTTGGTTTGAATGTGCTAAAGCGTTATGGAGATATAGCCTCACGTCCACTTTGGTGTGCTCTTCGTCGAATTCGCTTGCGCGTTATTCGAGAACGCTTTGACTAATCAACTTTAATTCCACAGCTTTTTTTAGCATGGTCTGAAGATGAGCTGGTCCGATTTTTCGATATTGAATTGTCTTAAACCAAGGAATCAGAAGAAAAGAAGAAGAAGAAGAAGAAGAAGAGGAAGGAAGGAATGACAATATTTAGTCATTTTCATTCATATGCATCACAATAACAATATATTCAGTAATAATACAAGTTTTTACTAAAATATTTTGAGAAATATATTACAAGTAATGTAAGAAAATGCCACATGGACACTTACATGAACATTTTTGAGAGACGATGCCAATGAGTCACTGAATCAGAGTATTGAAGTGATTCACTGAACTGAACAATATCAGCATTTTTGCTGAAGTTTAAATCAGAAATGATATTAAAACAAGAAGTCGAAAAGTGTTGCACTGCTGGAGTCTTTACTAAACATAATGGCTAAAAAAAACAAAAAAAAAAAACAGTGTGTGTGCTTCCAGATTCAAGATCTGGTAGATTTATAACTTGTCTGTGTTCTTCTTCCCTCAGTATCAGCTGATATCACACACAGTCTAGTGCTGAGAAGTTTCCACAAATCCGTTCTTTTGAACATTTTGTTTCATCGAACCAGTTACAACATCAACAATCACCAGAAGCAGTTCATCGGTTCTCTTACATGATCACGTTTTCCCAGACAGGCATACAGTTCACACAGGTTAAACAGCAGTAGGAGGAATTTTATCGAGATGAATGTTAAGTTTGCTTTAGTTGAGATGAGACTGAATGTGTTGAATGATTTCAGTCATTCATGAAGGCCTTCAGAGCTGTAAACATGAACACATTTCACTCAGAATTCAATCAGTCCTCGTTTCCTCGTCCTAACAAGTTGTAATTCTGTCGCCGTTCACACGCACAACCCTGCGATGAGAGCATGAGGTAACCATGGCGACCAGCGGCCTCCTTTAAGATTGATGGATGACGATGGTCTGACATTGTCCCCAGACTCAGCATCTCTCCAGCGCTCTCAATGTGTCCATTAATATGGCTCTCGCTATCACTGCCGCCGCTGCAGCCATGGCAACATCACAACGCTCACCTCTGAGGATCGACCCGCAAGACCTCGCTCTCGCTCCTCAACAGTCTCAGAGTGAAAAGAACACATGACTGAATGGATGCATGGACAGAAAATGAAACCCATCTATAAGGCTGTACGGTTATGTGGGTGTGGCTGTGCCTAAATGGGTGTGGTCATATCTGAAAAGGGTGTGGCTTAAAGTTCTGCAGTACAATATATTTATTTTGAAAATTTTACGTGACCTGGACACCAACCCTGTACAATGCAGTTCGGAAGTTTTTTTTTATTTTTTTTTATTTTAACATTTATATTTAGCTTAAATTAGTTACAATTTTAGTTTTAGTAATTTTAGTATTTCAACTTATTGTATTTTAACATTTCTAATTGTTAACTTTTAATTTTTTCCCTTAACAAGGGTTATTTACATTTCAGCTTTAGTTTTAGGATTTTAGTATTTCAGATTTTTTTATTTCATATTTACATTTACATTTTATCATTTAGCAGACACTCTTATCCAAAGCGACTTATACATAAGTCAACATTTCTAATTTTTAAGTTTATTTATTTTTTTTTTTTTACTGTTTAGTTTTTTTTTTCCATGTTTGCCTGTGTAAAAACAATTGTAGAACATTTTCACAAAAGTTAGTTTGTTTCAATTTTAGTTGAAGTTTTAGTAATTTAATGTGCTTTTGTTTTATTTTTAAATATTTCTAATTTGCTTCAAATTATTTTTATTTCGGTTTTAGTTTTAGTAATTGTAGTATGTCAACTTACTTTGTTTCAGTTAGTAGCCAAGGCAACATTTCTAAAGTATTTAGATTTTTTTTTTTTTTTCGTGCACAAAAAGATTAATTTGTCAAAAAAACACAGGCAGATTTTTTGTTTCTCTCTCTCTCTAGTTAATGAGATCCGGTTTACGTGTCTGATCGTGCGCCTGACAACACAAGCACTCAGAACTGTTTTTCTGAAGGACCACAAGCTCCAATTTTGGACTAAAAAAAAGACATGCCCACAAACCAAATCTACAGTCGGTGTGGCTAAGCCCATAGTGGGTGTTTCCATGTCTGATGTGGGTGTGACTCAGCCCAAGGTGGGTGTGTTCAAGCCTGTAGTGAATGGAACTAACCCATGATGGGGTGTGGCCAAATGTGACGGGTGTGGCTAAGCATAATGTGGGCGTGTCTATTTCTGATGACGTGCGTCCTCCTTATTTTATTATTGTTTAGAAACTATTATAATATTTATTAATATTGTAATTAATAATAGTTTTTTTTTATCAAGTTTCCATTTTTATTTAAGTTGGAGTAGTTTTTAAAATTGATTTTGTCATTTTCTTTAGTTTTTGTTTATTTTAAACATTTCTGTTTAGCTTTAATTTATTTTCTCTTTAGTTGTAGATTTTGTAAATTTAGTACTTCAACTTATTTTTATTTTATTTTTAAATTTTTTAGTTTTTCATCTGATATTTATGTTTTCTAGCCATTTAGTTTCCATTATGAACAATTTTTGTAATAGTTTTAGTTATCAACATCAACACTGGCGCTCATGCTCAAATGTGGGCGTGTTCAAGCATGGAGGGGGCGTGTCCAATTCGGTGGTGGGCGTGTGTCTCCAATCCTCACCATTCATTGACCTCTACTTCCAGATGTGACTCACACACTGTAAATTAAATCTGAGGGGCGAGATTTTATTTTAAACACCAGGACCTGAAGGAGACCTGCAGTTTTCCCTTCTCACTTGCTAATCAAAATGTCTGTCAGCGATCTACTCCTCTCTCTCGTTCTCTCGAGAGCCACGGCTGTCGACGGCGCTCCACGGGGCCTTTCTTTCATCCGTCAAAATGTCTTTTCTCCCCCTTATTTTTCACTGTTTTTCACTTTTTCCTGTCAATTGTTCTTCTGTTTCTCTCCAGGTAAAGCCGAACCTGGGCTCTGAATGGAAAATGTAAATGAAGCTTTTAGACTAAATGCACCTGGCTGAGGCTCCGTCCCATGCGACCCCACGCCTGCCAGACGTCTATTTTTTTTTTCCAGTTAATATTTATTTTATTTCAAGCAACAAAAATGTTATTTTTATGGTTTTATTTAACTAAAACCTAAAAACCCTGGGTAACACTTGAAGCCTTTATACATAATGCATTATAAAAGTATTTTAAATGCATGAATTATGCCTTGTAATGCACTGTATGATCTCATGAATAATTAAAATCACAGTTATAATACATTACAACACTTATTTATGCATTGTTACACTTTTAGAAAGTATAATGCATTAAAACACATAGTAATCAACCAATTTCAGATTTAAAATATTATAATGCATTTTAGCAATTACAATAATTTATTTATAATTCATTATACATAATAGCTTCACGTGCTGACAGATAAATCGTCTGATGTTTATCTGTCGACGGCGCTCCACGGGGCCTTTCTTTCATCCGTCAAAATGTCTTTTCTCCCCCTTATTTTTCACTGTTTTTCACTTTTTCCTGTCAATTGTTCTTCTGTTTCTCTCCAGGTAAAGCCGAACCTGGGCTCTGAATGGAAAATGTAAATTAAGCTTTTAGACTAAATGCACCTGGCTGAGGCTCCGTCCCATGCGACCCCACGCCTGCCAGACGGAGAAAAACCCCTGCGCTCGACCACACCGACACAACAATAGACATCAATAGAGAAACAACAACACAGAAATAGTCAAATGGCACTAATAGGTGAGCGGTTGAAAACAATGCATGGCAGCGACTCACAAAAACTCAGCAGGCGTCGAGCTGTTTCATCAGAAGCATCATGTTGGCCTTTGAAAAACTCACAAAACCAACCGAAAGCAACAGTAACAATGCAAACACACCAGCGTATGTGTGTTTGTTCGGCGTGTATTAAGTCGCTCAGCTGGGAATCGCAATAAACATTTTAATAAGATATATTACATATTTGGGGGTGTTCGTAATACTGTTGTTCATTTGTAAAACATGCATAATTGTTGCAATGTGTAAATTGTTGGACTGAAGCGAGAGCAAAAATGGTTTTACAAACAATTTCTGCTGTGATCGGCATGCAGTGTTTTCACGTGCTGACAGATAAATCGTCTGATGTTTATATCTGGGACAGATGTGTTTGTGGTGTCTCTACCTTCACGTCCACGTGAGCCATGAGCACCGCTCAGCTGGGAATCGCCGTTGATCATGGATCATATGGAGAGATAAAGACCGCCCACCCGCTGATCTCCCACAATGCACCTCACAGCCTGGAGTCATCAGCAAACAATAAACAGTCTCCACAGAGATCTGCTCCACATAAACACACCTCACGTCTTTCTTCTGATTTCTTCAGAGCAAAAGACATTCAGCCCGGGATGACTTACATCATATAGTCTTACAATCACTGAGATACCATTACATTTCAAATAGCACAGCGAAGTTGGTGAGGTGTGTGCAGGAGCAGGTGGTGTGCGTTCGGTTGGTTCCCAGCAGCCGGCAGTCCTGCGTCGACCAGAAGCCCATCATACTGCGCTTCGAGTAGCTCCAGAACGAACAGTTGGGGTTGAAATTCTCCTCTGACTGCTGGAAGACGAGGAAGAAGAAACTGCGTCAGCGAGAAAAACAGTGAAACACACAACATGGGCAAGAATAAGAGTTACACTCAGTGTTCAAAACGTGTTGCCACACATGCCAAAAGACTTTAACCAGCAGAACTCATTTTCACTGATCATGAAAGTGCAGGATGGATGAAAACGACAACATTGTAAGATACTAATAATTATGACATTACATTTTAAGATGTACTTAAGTCCTACTTAAGTGAGTCAAAAAGTACTCCATGGTTCAGCTAACTGCATTTGATATACATTTAAACTATAATACATTTCCATTTTATAGCAATTAACATGCACACTGAGTGTCTGAAAACATCACATTCAAGTAGCTTCTTTTAAAGTATATTATTTCTGTAAAAATGCTTAAGTGTACATTTTTGCACAAGGGTAAGTAGGGTAAGTGTCTGAAAACCAGGGTTATTATAGTTATTATATACTAAAACTGAAACTAAAATTAAACCATTAAAAAAAAGTTACTTGAAATTAAATAAACATTAAATGAAATAGAATCTAAAAAAAAACAGCTAGATGCCAAAGCAAAATGTGTCATAATAATGAAATATATGAAATATACGAAAATAATGAAAAAATAAAACTAAAATAAAAATGATAAATTAATAAAAACAAAGTCATATTAAAATCAATTATAAAAAAGTACAATTATATATATATTTATTATTATATTTTTTATAAAAAACTATAGACAGTTACAAAAAAAAATCTAAAAATCAACACAATTTTTTAACTAAAATTAAATAAAATGGAAACTATAAAAATAAAATAAAATAAAATTAAATTAAATAAAATTAAATAAAATTAAACTGAATTTTAAGGAATGGCTTTAAACTGAGGAGCCGAGAGTAAAGCACTCGCACTGGTGGCTAAAGCATTATCAAATTAGCCCAAATCTGTAACAAACAGACACTCCGGCGGCTGGCTGTTGGTATTCTGTGAAAATCTGCAGATTCCTTGTGGATTTGTCGATATCTTTCTCCCGTGAGCAAATCTAACACACACAAACAGGAAATAACGCTCCCAGCTCTAATCGAGCCTGCAGGCAGAGATTCTGTGTGTGTGTCATTTTCTGCGTGCATTTCAATAAAGAGCTTGGAGAAAAATAATTCAGGCATAAATGCTGGTGGAGGGGGAATTGGCAGATTTTAACCAGCGGATCTATTTTTTTACTGATCATGACATTGCAGGAAGAATGATAACAATAAAATTGGATGAGCCATTTTACCATAAGACAACAGAAGTATGAAATTACATATAAAGATGTACTTTAGTCCTACTTAAGTGGGTCAAAAACACTCTAAAGTTCAGCTAAACTCATTTAATCTAAATGTAAACTAAAAAACATTGTCATTTAATTGCAATTAACATGCACATTGAGTGTCTGAAAACATTACATTCAGTTCACAGAAGTACATTCTTTAAAAGTCTATTATTTCTGTAATAACGCTTAAGCGTACTTTTGTTTCACAAGGGTAAAAGCCCATTCACACCAAGTATGATGACTGTAATGATAACTATATTAAAGTCCACATCAACGCACAATATTGTTCTGTTTATTATAAGCTTGTGCTGTGGTTTTGTTGTCTGCTACTTTAAATGCTCAAGCTCTTTAAAACAGGATTCTGATTGGCTGTCAATGTTTTTATCATTCATCAGCTGCAAAAAAAAAAATCCTCTTGAAAGAAATCCCAATGATACTTGGTAAGACCATAAACTAACAGTCTACTAATACTCTAATCAGAATTAGTTGACTTAGTTGCAAAGTTATTTATAGTTATAGGGCCCTGTGAAACCGATTTCAGTTTTTCCTGATTCCCTTATTATTATTATTATTTTTTTTTTTCTGGATTCAATTGTTTTCATTAAAATTAAATTTTTAGGGCTCTATGAATGAATGAATGAATGAATTAATTAATTAATTTATTAATTAATTAATTTATTTATTTATTTATTAATTAAGCTTGTGCTGTGGTTTTGTTGTCTGCTACTTTAAATGCTCAAGCTCTTTAAAACAGGATTCTGATTGGCTGTCAATGTTTTTATCATTCATCAGCTGCAAAAAAAAAAATCCTCTTGAAAGAAATCCCAATGATACTTGGTAAGACCATAAACTAACAGTCTACTAATACTCTAATCAGAATTAGTTGACTTAGTTGCAAAGTTATTTATAGTTATAGGGCCCTGTGAAACCGATTTCAGTTTTTCCTGATTCCCTTATTATTATTTATTTTATTTTTTTTCTGGATTCAATTGTTTTCATTAAAATTAAATTTTTAGGGCTCTATGAATGAATGAATGAATTTGAAAGGAAAAATTGAAATCGCATCATATGACCCCTTTAAAGTAATTAAGTAGATGAATTAATCTATAAAGCCATATTTAATTAATTAATTAATTTATTTATTTATTTACACACACACTACATATCATCACTCCAACTATTTATTTATTTATTTAACACTACATCTAAATCACAAATCACTCAGCAGCATTTTGAAGCATGCAGGTGTAATTTATAATTCTGTGTTGTGTATTTTAATTTTTTCTCTGGTAATCAGATGAAGGCATAAAACATTAGTTAAATTTATATTTTAATAAAAAAGTGAAAATTTAACAAACCCTTTCATTTTCAGTCCACACCACAATTGCAATGATAACAGCACAGAGGAATGATATCATTGGAATCACTTTCAAACCCCTCCCCTCCAAAATTTGACAAATTTCATGACATTCTGCGTTATACAGCATCAAGGTGTGGGGGCGCTGCGGTGCAAATTCCACTCATGTTAGGTACATGTTAACTCAAAAATTCATACTAAGGCATGTTATTCGCAATTATGTGTTGTGGCTGGGTTGTTCTGCGTGACTCTCGATGTCTTAGGCCTAATTGAATGGAGGAATTATGGTATTCTTCTGTAGCCTGACAACGAGTAACTTTAACCGTTGTTCATGTGAACAGCCTGATGCTTTGTTTATAGACTATTTGTGGGTGGCTGTTTGTTGTTTCACCTATCAATTCGTGTCGATAAACTTGTAGCTGTTCTGTATCTTTGTAAGTCATTGTAAGCCCATTGTAAGCAAGCGCACGGACAAAAAAACAAGTGGGCTCCCCCAAAGTCCACAGTATAGTGCGAACACTGGTTATACGGTAAATTACAATTTTATGCCTGGATTCTGCTATTTCGTCGCCATTTCCCACATTGCGGAAATCATAGGGCCCTATAGTTAGTAAAATGTCTAAAGTGGACTATAAATAATAGAACAGCAGGTTATTAAATAAATTGTAACTTTCTTTTGAGTTTACAATGATTTTTAAAACTACATCGTATTCATAGTTATCATCCTTAATACAGAATTAATCAATAGCATCCAACTAATCGATTTGCTTGAATTTACAAACGTTTTAAGCATTTTATATTTCAATCATTTTTGGGAGAAAATCTATGGAATTATATTAGCTAAATTAGCCAAAATCTATCTTTCGCGCTCTCTCTCTCTCTGTGTCTCTCTCTCTCTCTCTCTCTATATATATATATAAACAACACATATACACAGACAGGGCTGCGATTCTGTGGAAAAGTGCACGAGTTCTGCGGGTGTAGATTCAGTGTGGGTCAAAACTGAATTCCCAGAACTAATCATGGTGTGTGTGTCATTTTTTGGGTGTGTTTCAATAAAATGCTTGGAGAAAAATCATTCAGGCATAAATGCTGGTGGTGTGACTGAGGGACCGTTCATTCATCACCTCTTCATCCGAGTTACCCAACCAATCACACACACACATACACGGTCTAGAATGATTATTCCAGGGATTTTTTATTCCGACAGCAAATCCCAGAGTGAACGCAACACAAGCCGGCTCGGCTCCGTACCTGAATATGCCGCATGGTGAATATGACGGGGTCGGACAGGTAGACTTTGTTACTGTCTTTGTTGATGGCCGCCGTTATAACGGGAGAGTTGACGATGACAGAGTAGTTTGTGTTTAACGTCTCGCTGCTGAACTTCATGCTGGCGTTTTCAGTGGACAGATACGAACCCAGATGCTTGTACAGGACGAACGCCATCCGGATCTCCCCTGAAAAACAGAGTGACAGAAAGAGAGCGGCTGTTAGTTAGCTGTCATTATGATCAGCATCATTATGACAAAGGTCATTTGTTTCAGTTTGTTCAGAAGTATTTAGCTGCTTAACAGAAGCTGAAAAAAGTCTCACATTTGAGGGAATTAAATAAATTGGTTCAAGAGAGCAAGGTCAGACATGAACGGAGGCTTGGGGCAAAAATGCCACCAAAATTAATAAAAACTCCAAATCTGAGATACGGTTGCAAAAATATGCCACGGTATGAGTTTGTTTTTAATATTCATAACATATCACACATGTAAGAGTACAGCTTTTCCCAATGACTGCAAATGTGATATTGATTTTATACTACATTTCAATGATGAGACATTAATATTGAGTGTCTTAATTTAGACACAATATTGTCTGTTTTTTATCTATTTCACAAGTCATAACAGCTCCAAACAAAGCCACAGCAGAACCATCGCACAGCGGTTTTGTTTTGTTACTGAATGAATCTATTTTTTAACGAATCAGGTGAGTCAATGATTCAATGACTCACTCATTAAGACAGTTCCTCGTTTCATATTTACAAGTATCATTTCAAATTTCTATCCTAAAAATGTTCTTTTAAAAGAACATTTGTGTCTTTGTATTTATGTAATTGTAGTGTAAATGCATTCATGGCATCTCTGAGCTGCATCAAAAAAAAAGTTGGTTTCTTTAGGATTTTTAATGTTTTTGAATGAAGTCTCTTTCTGCTCACCAAGGCTGCGTTTATTTGATCAAAAATACAGTAAAAATAGTAAAATTGTGAAATATTATTACAATTTAAAATAGCTGTTTTCTATGTGAATATCTGTTAAAATATAATTTATTTCTGAGATCAAAGCTGTATTTTCAGCATCATTACTCCAGTCTTCAGTGTCACATGATCTTCAGAAATCATTCTAATATGCTGATTTGCTGCTCGAGAAACATTTCTGATTATTATCAATGTTGAAAACAGTTGTGCTGCTTCATATTTTTGTGGAAACTGTGATGAATTGCATCCTAATGCATCCTTGCTGAATAAAAGTATCAGTTCCTTTCAAAAATAAATAAATAAATAACAACCCCAAAGTTTTTTTAACATTACTTTTTATCTAAATAACACTTCATATGCAGCTTCTGTGCCACCTCAAAGTGCAAAGATGGAATTTACTGATCACAATTTAATTTGATTGGTAGCCACCTTTAGGGTTTAATCGTCTAATTTATTGATTACATTGAAGAATTCGATATTAAAGATGACGCATACTGAACACGCAAGGTTAGAAAACCTTTGCCCTTATAAAGGTAAAAAAAAAATGCTGCTGGAAATCAATTTAAGTGGGCAAATATCGACCCTTAATGGAAAAGAGCGCGCGAGCGATCGGAGTGGAGCTCGTTTGGGAGATCAGCTACTTGCTAAAGCCTTTAAAAAGCCAAAGCGACCGAATAACAAAGCAAAACTTGTGCAATCTGCAGTTGAACATGGCCTGATGGGTCGTACTGGGGCTCAGGTCTCTTTAGAGTTCACTAAAAAACTCTTCATTAGCACATCATAGAGAGCGAGCAGACACCATCTCCAGCTGATCGAAGCCCTGTTTCAGGCGTTATATTAGAGGAAAAGAGCAATGAAGTGAAATAATTTGAGCTTTGATTATTATTTTTTGTGGTTTTAATTTTTAGTTTTGCTTTATTTAACTTGAGTTAATTTTGTACTTAACGAAAAAGACTAAATGGAAAAAAGAGAATGTTGTTTTGGAAGTGTCCATTTTTTATTTATTTATTTTATTTTATTTTTTCCAGTAAAATGTTGCTTTGGAAACTAGTTGAAATCTATTAAGTTTACGTTTTTTTATTTTTTTTAAGTGAATGTTTAGTCAGTATTTATGGCCTCATAACCCTTAGAGGAAAAGAGCAATGAAGTGAAATAATTTGAGCTTTGATTAGATGGGATTCGGTTCCCAGCTAGAAAACTTCTGATCAAGGAAACCAGTTCATAAAATGGGAATAAGTGTGGAGGATATACATTATTAGCCCTCTATTATTATTTGCCAAGTAAAATATTGGAAATCAAGAGTTTCCAGAGAAAGAAAGTGGCATTAGTTATTTAGTGTTATTTTAGTATCACCGATCTACGTTTATAGCTTGTGTTAATATTTTGAGTTAGATTTAAATTTTATATAGTACCGTTTCTGCCGTGTTGTTTGAGGGTGTTGGCTGACAGGTGGATGGCGTTCCCTTGGCCTCCCGTCTGTGGAAACTTCAGATCGGGAAGATTTCCGTCTGTGCTCATCCTCGCCACCTCCAGCTCTGAACAAAGACAAACACACACCGTTAGGCCTGAATAACAAGCTACACAATGCATGAAAAGTCATGACTGTGGCGATAACACATCTCAGGACTCGATCGAGTTACTTTGAGTTTATGACAGTATAATGAAAGTGAATAAGACCTGAAATAAAACAAAAATGTTTTATATATGTGACCCTGAAGCACAAAACCAGTCTTAAGTCGCTGTGGTATATTTGTAGCAATAGCCAAAAATACATTGTATGGGTCAAAATTATAGATTTTTCTTTAATGCCAAAAACAATTAGGACATTAAGTAAAGATCATGTTCCATGAAGATATTTTGTAAATTTCCTAC